GCTTTCCTGCTCCTCTGATGCTGCTTGGCCTGCTGTGTTTGTCCAGCGCTACACCTTGTTACCTCTATTGTAAGTAAATATTGCCATGCTACTTGTAATATTTGAATCAAAATTCTTTTCACCCTAAGGACAGAAAAATAAAGAAAGATAATGAATTCATTACACTTTTAGTTAGCACCCTGGCTCTTTCATTTTAGTTCTAAAGTTTTTTGTTCATCGTATTGGAATTGGAGGAGTATAAAAAGCAGGCATTGTTGTTAGAGTTGTACAGGGTGCTGGTGAGAAAACACTTTTTTTAGTTGTATACATTTTTGGGTTTTATATTTAAGGAATGGTGTGATTGCATTGGAGGCAGTACAGCAAACGTTCACTAGATTGGTCTGTGAGATGACGGATGTCCCAAGAGGCTGAGAAAATTAGGCCTTTATTCTTTGGAATTTAAATGAAGATGGTAATCTTACTGAAGCAATCAAAATTCTGAATATGCTGTATAAGGAACATTGGAAGGTTGTTTCCTGTGGTTGGGGAATCTGGAATAGGTGGACACAGTCTCAAGATAAAAAGCTAATCATCAAGGACTCGGATGTTTCTTCTCTGAAAAAGTAATGAATCTTTGTCATTGCCTATTCCAGAGTGCTGTAGATCTTCATGGCTGAATATATTTAAGGCTAAGATAGAGATGTTTCCTACCTCGGGAATCGGGAATAAGGGGACTACATGAAAATATGAGGTTGAAATCAAAGATCGGCCATGATGGTATCATGTGCTGGAGCTGCTCAACAGCTGCATTATCTATTCCTCCTCCCATTTCTTGTGTTTTTTATATTCTTAAAGTTCAGTACAGTGCAAACCAATAAAGACCAACTTACACTTGAATTAGTATACTCACCTTTGGAAGGTCAAATGAATAGTCAGTGAAAGTAAATGAAGTGGCTTTTGTTGAGGGTGGATAATGGCTGTTTTTATTTTTGGATTTAAAAATACATATGTAATATATCTGTGGATAAGACCTCATGCTTGAACTATTACTGTAAATACTTACTGAAATGTAGATACAATTTATGGCTTGCATTGTAACACAGGACTTAAATAAATTATTTCTAAGTTCCTTTGCTGGAAAGTACTGCTTGCTTGGGTCTGTGAAATGGCATATGAGTTTTTAATTTGCGTGCAAGTCTTTATTTTCAAATATTTATTTTTCTTGGATCTTCTGACAGGAGACCCAAGTGGTGGTAGATTGTTAAGTTCATACTGTGGTCCCATGGCTCACTGTTGGCGAGACTGAGGTTGAAACTTGTTATTGAGTTGAGGTTAACATCCACCTAAGAAAAATATTTTAACGGGTTTGGTGAAGATGCCTGATTTTTTTTATTTTAGAAAGTAATTTTAACTTGAAAATTGTGCACAATTGAGAGTAAGCTTTTATGTTTCCAAAATCTATTCTGTATTAACTTCCACGTATCAATAATTTCTCCTCTGTTCACCTCTTACCCCAAAAAAGATGGACCTTGTTTGCTGCTTTATTTTGAGATAAAGTAGAAAGATGCAATTGAATATTCTTGATTGAATATTCAGTTTATTTAATAAAAAAATTCACTTTGTCTGATTAATGTGGAAATTGGATGTTAACCTATTATTACGCACATACATTATGAAACTGTGGTTTGTGGCTTCCTAAGTATAAACTGGAATTGAGTTTTCGCCATTATAGCTGCTTTTCTCTTACTAAAAGATGCAAGTTACTAAGCAAATCTGGTGTAAATATTGAATTGGTATGAATGTAATGAGGTGAAATGTGCTTCATTTAAAGCTGAGAAGCAATGTAATGGAGCAAGTTGTTGCAGATTTTAGAAGCTACAGATGTAGCAAATTGATAGATCTCCTGGACTTAGACCATAAGATAAAGGAGCAGAAATTGTCCATTCAGCTCAACACATTTACACTGCCATTCAGTGAATCCACTGTTGGTCTGATCCTCAACTCCACTTTCCTATATTTTTCCCATAACCTTGATTCCTCTGCTAATTTAAAATCTGCCTGTCTCAACTTTGAATATACTTCATGACCTGGCCTTAATAGCCCTCTATAGTAAAGAATTCTATAGATTCACATCCCTCGGAAAAAAATTCTTCCTCACCTCTGTTGCAAACAGGCAACCCACAACTCTGAGATTATGCCTTCTAGTCCTACATTCTCCCACAAAGGGAAACAACCTTTCTGCAACTACCCTGTCAAGTCCTCTACAAATTTTTGTTTCAATAAGGTTGCTTCTCATTGTTTTAAATTCCAATGAGTACAAGCCCAACTTAGTCAACCACTTCTTATAAAACATTCCCTCTATACCTGGTACAAGCTTAATGACCTTTCTCTGGACTGCCTCCAATGCCAGTTTCTTTCCTTCGATAAGGGACCCACTGTTTACAATATTCCAGCTATGGTCTGACTGGTGCCTTGTGTAATGCTCCACTCCCTTTGAAATAAAGCCCAACATTCCATTTGCCTTTCTTATTACCCGCTGAACTTGCATGTAAGCTTTTTGTGATTCGTGCAAATCTTTCTGTCCTCTGTAGATTTCTGCACTCCCTCTTCATTTAAATCATGTTCAGCTCCTCCTCTTCCTGGCAAAGTGCATAACCTGACATTTTTTCACATTATATTCCATTTGTCAAGTTTATTCCCATTTAGTAAACCTATCGATATCCCTCTGCAGTCTTTGTGCCATACTCACTGTTTGGTTTCTCACATATATTTTTGGGGTAACTGCTAACTTTCTTATAGTGCATTCACTTTTTCTTTATCCGCGTCCTTAATGTATATGGACAATAATTGAGGTGCAGGATGATTCCAGGATGACAACCTGTCACAAGAACAGCACCACTGCCCAACTGTCTTCTATCAGTTAGCCAATGTTCTGTCCATGCTAATACACAACTCCCAACACCATGGGATCTTATCTAATTAAGTAATATAATGTTTAGTACCTTATCAAACACCTTCCAAAAATCCAAATATACTACATTGAGAGCACAATCTTGAAACAGTGAACTTCTGATACAAAATGAAATTACTTGTATTCACTAAAACTGAAAGGCCTTGTACTTTGCTATTTTGCTATCAGCCAAAATTAGTACATTTTTTGGCTCCAACAATTGCTCATTTCTGGTTTCTCTTGTTTTAATGGCAGGTGGAATGGATACAGCAGCAGGTGGTAAAACGACGAATAAAGAGAGATTTTAAAGCTGGAGCTCCTCAGTATCCTTACTTCAATGATCCTAAATGGTCAAGCATGTGGTACATAGTAAGTGTGATAAATTTCATTTAATATTCTATTTGTATTTCGTTTTATGTAATTCTCCACATCACTTTCCTTCCTCAACAATACTTGCCCCTGTTCATTGTGTTGTAGTGACTTTAAAAAATAAATCACAATTTCATTGGCTTTGTTGTGTGTTGAAATGTTTGTAGTTTTTTGTTTTGGAGCTCAAAGTGTACACCATACTCCAATTCTGGTCAACATCACATGTCAATCTGTTTATTGTATTGCCTCCTGTCATAAAAATACTCATTATTCCATTAGTTTGTTCCTCGCCTGTATCCTGAGGTACTGTTTTTAATCCTTTGAGAATTTTAGTCACTTGCGTTCCTAAATTACCCAAATGTACTTATTCTATTTCTATTAAAATGTATCATCTCATATTTATTGATAAATTTCCATCTGCTATATTCATGCCTTTCTTGCAGCTTTTTTTTTCATTCATGTATGGGATGTGGGCATCAATTAAGCCAGCATTTATTGCCGTTCCTGTTTTTAGTGCTTGAACTGAAGGCAATTAAGAGTCAACTATACGGTTGTGGGGTCTCGAATCACATGTGGGCGAGACCAGATCAGGATGGCAGACTTGCTTCCTTAAAAGTCAATTGTGCAATGGTTATATTGTCACCTTTTGACTAGCCTTTTTTATTTTAAATTCCCGGATTGTTTTTATTGAATTGAAACAGCACCGTTTGTCAAGATAGGATTCTAACCCATGTCGCGAGAACATTAACCTAGCACTTTGGATTACGAGTCTATTAATATTACCACTGTGCTACCATCTCCTCCGCTTTCATCTTTTAAATTATTTAGTACTCTTCTAATTGGGGATTTTGATTAATCAGGTTAATGGGCGAAACCCTGGCGGATGGTTTTCATTGTCAACAAACATTTTAGACCTATAAAGGATGGAACAGGCTACTCTTTAAATGGTGAAAATCTAAAATAGTAGGGAGAGGTCCAAAGAATTAAGTGTATCCAAACACACAAGTTAGTGGTGTGAACAGGTACAGGAAAAAAAATCGAAAGGACGAATGGAATGTTGGCTTTTATAAGTAGAGAACTTGGATACAAGTTTGTAAAAGCTATACCTTTTAGCTTTACAAAGTTCCAAACTACACCTGAAGTATTGAGAAGTTTTGAACACCACATCATACAAAGGATATATTAACTTAAGGGTGTGGATTAACTAGAACAGTACGTGAGCTTCAGTGGTTAAATTACAGGGAAAGATGAACAAAAAAATGGATATATTCTGTTAAATTTAGAAAGTCTGGTGTGAGTTGTTTTTGAAGTTCGCAAGATATTAAGAGAAACAGATAGAGATAAACTTTTTTCACTGAAAGTGGAATCTAGGAGTAAGGTCTGTAGTTTAAGTATTAGAGACAAACCTTTCAGGTGTGAAATTAGAAGCTATTTCTTCAAATAAACAATGGTAGATGTTTGGAACTCCAATTAACTGCCATTTGCAGAATAGAGTTAAATATATCAATCTCTTATTTTCAAAAATTGCAAACATTGAGGTTTAAGGCATATTATAGGTATATGAAATTAGATCATTGATGTCCCATGATTCCCATTGAATGGCAGAACAGGGACAGGAGTCCACGTAGCCTACTTCTGTTCCTATGTTCTTATTTTTGGATTGACTTTGTTCTGGCATCTGCACAATTAATTTGACTTCTTGCACTGTAGTATAAGAAGACTGCAGAATAAAACCCAAATTTGTATCCCCTAAATAATTGCTATGTTCTCGTTAAGGGGAAAAGGGCAAGGTGGCATATAAAAAGGACAGTTGTACATATGCAGGGAGGCTTTGTTTAAATTTGGGGCTGAAATGACTTAATGGAATAAATATCAAATAAAAGTAATACCTTTCCTTCCTGTTGGGCAAACTGTTTTGTCACCGTTTCTTGAGAATATTTCATTATTCTTCCCATTTAAACTGTTTGTTTTCTAGAATACAAAATTTCGTTATTGTATTTGATAGTAACTTTAAACTTTTTTGTTTCTCTCCACCCATTAGCACTGCAATGACGATACTCATCACTGCCAATCAGATATGAACATAGTAGGTGCTTGGCGGAGGGGCTATACAGGTCGAAATGTTGTGGTAACAATTCTGGATGATGGCATTGAGAGGAACCACCCTGACTTGCAACAGAATTATGTATGTTTTGTTTTCAATTGCTCTTCCAGGCAAATGCCTTTCAAAAATGTGCTAAGACTTATTTGAGTCATACTGTAAGTTGGAGTTATGACACAAAAAAGAAATTAAGATAACTCAACTTGGAGTTTTAGAAATTGTCAATGCTTCCTTTTGGGAGTTTGGACCCATAATCATATGTACAAGTGAAATTTGAGCACTCTCCCATTACACTTGATTGCAAACTTCTCTTTGTGAAGCCAAGTTCTACTGTAGTTGGGCAATAAGGGATAATTATGGTGGCTGTGATTATTGCTTCCCCTTATCCCAAGAATCCATTTGCAAGTTAGAACATTTCAATTTCACTAGATTTGTAATTTTTTTTAGTGTTTTAGAATATAGCTACTGATTGATCGACAATAAGCACAATAGAAAAACTACTGGTGTAACATTATAATTACTAATTAAATCCTGCTATGATTAGGATGCACTATATTTCCTTTCCAGTCTCAGAAATTCCTTGTCAGCAAGGATTTTTTGGGCCTCAAATGTAGAATCTCTCCCTCCAAATTGAAACAGGTTTGCTCATTGTTTTCTCTGTTGGGGAAATGCATTTATTATTTCAAGCCCCCTTGTACATAGAGTAATGACGTTATTCACTATAAATTAAGTTTTAATTTTTGTAGGTGAACCTATTGGATTTATGTCATCACCCTATCGTACCCTAAGTACTATACTTCGAAGATTGTTCTTGAAACAAAATGAGTGCGGTTTAAGTAATACTTGTAGCCAAGTTGCGCATAGCATTGCTCCATAAAGAGCAAATGAGACAAATGATCAGACATTCTGTTTTAGATAGGATGTAGGGAGAACTCTGCAGAGAGTATCATGGGATGTTTCACATCTGCCTGAACAAGCAGGGATGTGTTCTTGGTTTAATGTCTCCTCAGACGATGCAATTCTTCTTTGATATTTAACTAAAATGTGAATTTAACTAGAACTAATTAAGACAAGCAGCTGAAATTTCTCTTTGGCTTAGGGATTCAGTCCTGCTAGTAGAACTGTGAAATTGTACAGATGGGAATGGAGTTTGTCATCTTTATGACAGAATCTGGACAGTTTGGAACTAGGGAATTTCTTTTTCCATGTTCTATGGTTACCCAGTCAATCTCTTTCCCCTTTTGTCTTTATGCCAAATTCCCGTGCAACATTAAATAGAATTTGAACATGGTTAAATAAAGAATTGCACCTTTCCTGGATCAAGTTGGACATTCTTTCAAGTTGCTTGAGCATTTGATTTCTGTTGAAACATCTTGTTTAAGATTCCAAAATACACCTTTTAACAAAACCTTTCCAAAGACTGGTGGCACTTGTTCCAATTATTGTTTACCTTGTGGAAATACATCATTAAAAAAAAATGCATATACAGACAATTAAGTTCAATCAGTTCAAGTCAACACATACCATCCACCTAGGCTAATAATTCCAATTACATTTACTCAACCTTTTATCCATATCACTTCGTTATCTCTCCCTTCATTAAACCTTCAGTAAATCTTCCTGAGTCACTAACTGAATGTTAACTCAAATTCGACAGGCCCTCAACACTCTCCGTGATGTCTTTTCTACCGTCAATTAGGAACTGAACAGTTAATCTTTTCTGATGAAGGGTCTAGGCCCGAAACGTCAGCCTTCCTGCTCCTATGATGCTGCTTGGCCTGCTGTGTTCATCCAGCTCTGCACCTTGTTGTCTCAGTTAATCTTGTAACTGTGATTCATTGTTGAAGCCACAGCTACTAGAAATGTCTGCCTTTATGCACATTCTTCCATTCTTTCAATACACTCCTATTTTATTATTATTATTATTATTATTATTATTATTATTATTATTATTATTATTTTATTTTTTATTATTATTATTTCTTCTATGGGGTGGCACAGTGGCTCAGTGGTTAGCAGTGATGACTCTCAGCGCCAGGGACCCAAGTTTGGTTCCACCCTTGGGCGACTGTATAAACTCCACGCAGACATTCACCCTGTGTTTGCTTAGCTTTTGGCCAGGTGCTCCGGTTTCCTCCCACAACCAAAAGACGTGCAGGTTAGGTGGATTGGCCATGCTAAATTCCAGGAATGCGTAGGCTAGGTGGATTAGCCATGGGAAATATGGTGTTATGGGGATAGGGTAGGGACCTGGGTGGAATGCTCTCTGGAGGGTCAATGCAGACTGAATGGGTTGAATGACCTCTTTCTGCATTGTAAGGGTTCTATACATGGTCCCATAATCTGCACTGTTATTGTTGTGGTAGAAAAAGTAGTTTTTTAAAGCCTACTTCATAGTGATATTTCCTCTTACCAGGTAGCATTTTAGTGAAACGGTTGTATTCCCTGAAAAATCTCAACATGCTGCCTATATTATAGATATGCACACAGTAATTTAACTGCAATTTAATGTTTTACTTTAACTCATTATTATATCTTGGTTATTTATACTTAAAGCAACATCTAGAATTCATTAGTCATTCATAACAGGTTTATCATAGAGTCATACTGCATGGAAACACACCCTTCGGTCCAATTCATCTGCACTGACTGGAAATCCCAATCTGATCTAGTCCTATTTGCCAGCATTTGGCCCTTATCCCTCTAAACCTTCCTACTCATAGGCATATCTAGATGCCTTTTAAATGTTGTAATTGTACCAGCGTCCGCCACTCCTCTGGCAGCTCATTCCATACATGCACTACCCTCTGCATGAAAAAGTTGCCCCACCGGTCCTTTTTTAAATCTTTTCCTTCTCAACTTAAACCTATGCTCTCTAGTTTTGGAATCCCCAACCCTAGTAAAAAGCCTTTGCTATTTACTCAGTCCAGGTGAGATTAGGGAAAGGTGTGTGAATACTCTCGAGCAGGTCAACATAATGAAGGATGAAGTGTTGGGTGTCTTAAAATACACTACGGTAGATAAGTCCCCAGGGCCAGACGGGATCTATCCCAGGATACTGAGGGAGGGAATGGAGGAAATAGTTGGAGCCTTAATAGATATCTTTCCATTCTCTTTGGCCTCAGCTGAGGTTCCAGAGGACTGGAGAATGGTTAATGTTGTTCCTTTGTTTGAGAAAGGAAATAGATATAATCCAGGTAATTACAGGCCAGTGAGCCTGTCATCAGTGGTGGGGAAGCTGTTGGAGAAGATACTGAGTGACAGGATTTATTCACATTTGGAAGTGAATGGACTTGTTAGTGATAGGTAGGTTTGTGCGGGAAAGATCATATCTTATCAACTTGATTGAGTTTTTTGAAAAGGTGACAAGAACGATTGAGAGAAGGGCAGTGGATGTTGCCTATGTGGACATTAGTAAGGCATTTGATAAGGTACCTCATGACAGGCTGGTACAGAAGGTAGAGTCCTATTGTACTTTGAGATAATCTTTTTCTTTGTCTACTACACCACCTCTTTTGTGTCATCTTCAAACTTACTAACCATTCCACCTGTATACACATTCATTTATATAAATGATTTGGAAAACAGTGGACCCAGCACCGGTTCTTGTGGTACACCACCGGTCACAGGGCTTCAGTCCGAAAAGTAACCCTTTACCATGACCCTCTGTCTCCTACCTTCAAGACAATTTTGTATCCAATTGGCTAGCTCCCCCTGGATCTCATGTGATCTAACCTTACTAAGCAATCTATGGAATCTTTTACAAACACATTGCAGAGGTACATATTTCTACCACTCAGACTTCATCAATCTTCTTTGTCACCTTTTCAAAAAACTCAAACACAGCTTCCCATACACAAAGCCCTTTGACTATCTTTAAATGGTCCTTGCCTTTCCAAATGCATATAAATCCTGTCCCTCAGAATTCCCTCCAACAACTTACCGACCACTGATGTAAGTCTCAGTGGTCTGTAGTTCCGTGGATTTTGTTTACAGCCATTCTTAAATAATGGCACCATGTTAGCCAACCTTCAGTCTCCTGGCACCTCACTTGTGGCTGTTGATGATACAAGTATCACAACAAGGAGCCCAGCAATCATGTCCCTAGCTTCCCACAAAATTCTTGTGCATTTAATGTTCTGTGAACCTGTTTTCCAAAATTCACTTGCTGTTCTGCAGCACCAAGCTTATTTATTTCCATTGAGTATAATTATTGCAGTTATTTCTGCTACCAAAATGCATCATCTCTTTCTTATTGACACTAAATTGATATGTCACTTTTTAACCTAATCCCCATTTTAATCGATATCCTTTTTGTAGTTTCCTTCTTTCTATGGAAGAACTATATCTTCTATTTTCTCCCCTTGAGTCAGAATGCTGTCATATCCCTAATTTCATGCACATTATCATTCTCTTGTAATCTCACATTATTACCTTGTCATAGGCTTTTGTATGCTCCACATAATGTACATCCACCGCATTTTTCCTCGTCTTCTGCATCTGCTCCCTTTTTCAAAACAATTCCTGAGTTTATTGAAATTGATTATATCTTGGTTGAAAACTTTGCTGCCAATGTCTAACGTGTTTCATCTTTGTGCATGTTAGTTTTATTCTTAATTAACGACTTCTATTCTTCTCCTATTTCAGAATAAACTAGCTGGCTTACAATTAAATTCATTAGCTTTGTTTCCTTTTTTAAAAACTTGATACTGCGTTGGCCAGCTCCAGTGGTCTGACATGCAACCATACTTGGAGTCCTGAAATATTTTCAAGGCCACTTGGGTTTGATCTCTCAATACCTTCAAGATCCTACTGTGTATCCCACCACATTGATGGAAACTTGCATCTACTACAGTGACAATGAATTAAACAGGACAATACTGGATGTAAGCAGCAGGCCAGTCAGTATCTATGTAGAAGACAAGTTAATACATTTGGGGCATATAACCTTGATCAGGACCGCCCTGTCCTTTTTTTTTTATTCCTTTCTGTATACCTGGTAATTGCCAACATTTTCTGTTATTCATTAATATTTCCAAAACTTGCTGCTTTTCATTCTTCCATCCACAATGATTCTAACTGCCAAGAAGTGTTGGCTGAAACTATTGGAATGCTTTAACATTTTCAGTAATCTTGGAATAATTCTGTCCAAGGAATGGTGTACGTCATCCAAAACCTCATTTGTTTATTATTCTCATGAGGCTGGGGGGATGATATTAACACACATTTCCCATCAACTCTTGTATAGCTAAGTTGAATCATTTATGCATGGAAAACCTTTTAAGAATGCATGAATTTTACAGTGATTTTATTTATTAAAGTAGTTGTGTGATTTTCTTCCCTCCTTGCTGTAGGATCAAATGGCTAGCTTTGATGTCAATGGAAATGACTGGGATCCCATGCCTCGCTATGATGCCAGCAATGAGAACAAGTAAGGGAAATGTCTATTTCTGTTTCAGCACCTGTCTTCCACAAACAGTTTGAGTTGAACTTGGCTTATGCTGAACTTTCTCAATTTAGCTTTGTTTTCCTTTCTTAATGTTGAAAGAAAATTAGGGATTTGAAGCTCAAATTTTCAATGTCCTCTAAGCTACATGAGTTGCATTTTCAACAGAGTCTCACAACAAATATGTTTATGAACCATTTCAAAGTGGTCATACAGTTACACAAATAACTATAGATAAATATAATGTGTAATATTCCACTTTCATACTCTAAAGTTAATTTTTCATCTGTTAGAGGCTCAGAACTAACTTATTTAGTTGGAAAATTGTATGAAGTACATGCCTAAATTTTTGACATTCAGTTTTGACCCCTAAGGCTTCCTGCTGTGACAATCCCTACATTTAGCTGGTCCTGGTTTCTGGGACTCTAAAACTGGACACTGTTCATCTTTCATTTGGGCTTTTTCTCCAGTGGGATATTTTGGTTCAAGTGGCAGTGCTTGTATTATCTCTCGTAGCCTAAGAAACTAGGCATGGATATTGTGATAGCAAGTAATCCGCAGACGTTTATTGCAGCTAGCTGTTATGCGCAAACACTGAAACACAACAGAGTAGCCAGTCGTGATTCAAGTGATCCCAGGGTAAATCTCTTAAAGGTATGTTGATATACTGATCTTGAGATATCTTGGCCATTGTGCATGATGTGGAAAGGGAGCCCTTGAGGTGGCAAACCAGGGAACTTAACCTGCCCTCCTAAACCTCCGCCTGCCAACCATAAAATTCTGTCCCATTTTACGTTATGTGAGTGAATGCGGAGGAATTTGCGATTTGTTAATTTGTTTTGTTTTTATGGCCTTGTAACTTTGTTTGTGGTTATTTATCTTGGATAGAGGCCAGCAATTGGATACTGTATTGTTACAAACTACTACGTACAGTCATGGAAAATGAAAAATTACTGGTGGTGACCTCAGTGGTGATGTAAAGCTCCTGAAAAGTTCCTGCCCTCAACTTGCAAGCTCAGTGTGTTCATTGTCCTGCAGCAGTAGAGTTACAGGTATTTTAGCAACTTTATAGCTATGGAGGCCATGAGCTGGTAAATTTTGTATTGGATCTCCTGTAAATCCTCCATTGCTGGTTTGGTTTTTCACTTGAAGATATTTCAATTTAAAGCTACTTACAGAATTGTAGTAGATTAGATGGTGTGTTATAGACCAGGAAATGAGAAGCCAGAATAATTTACTTGATTTGAACTCTGGACACCTCATTAAGAAATACATAACAGCAAAACATTTTTGTGTTTTACCCATCCAAGATAGCTAAAAGATATACTTGAAAGTGCCCACCCATTCCTACCACCATTTCTGTACAACTTCCTCTGTAAGGGGAGGATGCACTAGAGTCTAATGTTACTATACTTTATTGTAAATGAAGTAGTTAACCAGTATCAACAGATCTGTCCAAGTCTGGAATTTTGTCGTATGCTATTTTAGTTTTAGATGTGAAAAGTCCTTTTCGCATTAGATGCTGTCTTTATAGAAATGAATTCTCCTGTCTTTCCATTGCAACATCTAATGAAAACATTTTAAGCTGCAATACTGAGTGCATTGTTTACTGTGCTCACAACCCATTCTCGCCCCAACCACCTCAACCTCCTTTCATTTTCAAAGTTACAGAAGATGCAAATTGTGGATGAAAAATGAAAACGGCAGCATTAAATGGAAAACGTTGATGTGTAAAAATAATGTTTGGTTTAAACAGACAATAAGTACTCATCACACATCTGTGCTTTAGAAAGGGGGAAGAGGGGAAAAATTAAACCATCCATGAAAGTCTCCAATTGGGTACTGTTTAGAAAAAAATCCAGATGGGACTCCTACAACTCAAGTGAAGAAGACACCTGTTACAAAACTGTAGGAGAATTTTTTGTTTTATCACATTAAACTCCACTCAGAACAATCTAAGTCTGGAGAAACACAGATGTATGTGACCTCACAGGTAGCAACAGTAAAGTCATGAAATGTTTGTCGTCCTGGTGTAGTCTGTTTGTACTTGGTACATAGTTTTGGCTGGTTCATCTGTTATGACAAGCAATAGCTTTGTCAAGAATGGTCAGATTTACTATATGCCAGTCTCTTGCCCAGTCTAGTATGAAAGTCCAAATATCCACTTGACTTGAGGCTTTCAAGTGTGGATATGACTAGCTTTGTGAAAGGAAATATGTTGCATTTGAACACAATGCCGTATAGTCAGTACTGGCTGAATTGACCAAGCTGTAAAGGACATGCTGCTAGCCTGGGCTTGTGGTCAGTGGCACTTACAAAACTAACAAGAGGGAAAAGTGTACTTGACCTCCTCTTCACCAGCTCACTTGTAGAAAATGCATCTGTTCATGATCGTGTTGGCAGGAGTCACCACCATACACTCATTGTGGTGAAGTCATCTTGCGCTCACTTTGAAGATACTCTCCATGTTGTACGGCACTACCACAGTGCTAAACATAATGTATTTCAAACAGATCTGGCAACTCGAACAGAGCATTCATAAGGTGCTGTTGCCTATCACCAGCAGCAGAATTGTATTGAACCACAATCTGTAACTTCATGGGTTGGCTTTCCCTCCACCATGGCCATCAAGCCAGGGGATTAACCCTGGCTAAACGAAGAGTGCAGGAGTACATGTCACGAGCAGCACCATATTACCTAAAATTGATGTCAGTCTGATGAAGTGAGAAGAGGAGCAAATTGGATGCCGACCAGTGAATTCAGCAGGCAATAGATGGAGGTACCTACAACCAATGGATATCATCTGAGCTTGGCAATCCTGCCACATCCAGTAGTGAATAGTGGACAATTAAACAACTAATTGGAGAAGCATCTCCAAACACCCCTACCTTAGTGATGAGGGCGAACAGCACATCAGTGCCAAGGATGAGGCTAAAGCATTTTCAGCCTGAATTACCAAGTGTATGATCCATCTTCACCTCCTGAGTCCCAGCATCAGAGATGCTAGTCTTCTACAATTTAATTCAATCCATTTGATAGCAAGAAACAGCCGAAGGCACTGCATACTGAAAAGACTATGGACCTTGACAACATTGCAGCAGTGATAGTGAAGACTTGTGCACCAAAACTAGTCATGGCCCTAGCCTAGCTGTTCCAGTACACTTACAACATTGGCATGTACCCAACAATATAAAAAAAAAATTGGCAAGGTTAGGCCTGTACGCAAAAAGCAGGACAAATTGAACCTGGCCAATTTCCATCCCATCAGTTTTCTCTCCATCGTCAGCAAAGTGATGGAAAGTTCCATAGATAGTGCTATCAAGTGTAATTTATCAAGCAATAACCTGCTTGCTGATTCTCTGGCTGCACCAGGCTCACACAGCTCCTGACTTCATTTCAGCTTTTGTCTAAACATGGGCAAAAGTGTTGAACCAGAGGAAGTGAGGGTGACTCGTCTTGACATTAAGACAGTATTTGACTGAGTGACATCAAGGAACACTAGCGAAACTGGAGCCATTGAGAATCCAAGAAACACTCCCTGGTTGGAGAAAAATTCAGTTTTAAAAGGATTCCAATTTCCAACAGCACCCATTTTTGAGAGGATGTAATATCGTATTGACTTCTCTCAATTACCCTGTTCATATCAAGTGCAAGTTCAATTCCCTAACTTGATTATATGTTGCATATAACACACTACAGCTATTAGAACTGTTGATATCATAAAATCCAAATATGGCTAGCACTTTCAAGGCTTTATTTTTGTGCACAACCTCAACATTGTTGTTCGGCAGATGGATTTTGTAAGTAGTCAGTTTATTTCTTCCCAAAAAATCTTTTTTCCATGCAAGTTTAAAACCACCTAGACTGTTTCCATTGACTTTTGCTTTAAATTAAAATTTTAAATTCTTATACTCTTAATCATGATGTAAATTTCCGGTTAAGTGCTTGAGATTATTTTATTCAATGGGCTGAGAATATTGCTGGCTAGGCGAGCACTTATTGCCCATCCCAAGTTGCCCAGCGAGAAGTTAGATGTTAACCGCATTACTCTGCATCCAGAGTCACATGTTGGCCAGACCAGGTAAGGATGCCAGATTTCCTTTCTTAAAGGGCATTACTGAACCAGGTGGGATTTTAAGACAATTGACAGTGGTTACATGTCTATCATTAGGGTGGCTTTTTTTATTCCAGACTTTGAGTTCGGATTTCACCATTTGCCATGGTGTGATTCAAATCCATGTCCTGAGAACATGAGCCTGACGTTTTGGCTTACTCATTCAGTGATACTACCACTACACTGTGATGGCAACTTGTAACACCAAGTTATTTCATCAACTTCTGAAACTATTATGCCGAGACTTGGTTTTAAACAATGCTCTTCTATCAAAGACACATGATTGCCGTTAATTTAAGGCTGCTCCATTGTCAAGCACTCTGTCTCGGAAGATACCAAGTGGTCTGGTCAAAACAAAAAGGCAAAACCTTTAGTCCAAGACTCCTGGGTCCCTGGCTGCGAACTTCTTGAAAAGCAAAAGAACAAAATCCACTCTGGTTCTGTTTAGAAGCACAATAGGTTAATAACCACAGAACTAGTATGGTGCAGAAAGGAGCCATTTGGACAATTGTGCAGTCACTGGCTCGATTAACTAGTCTGTCTGTTTTTATCTAGTGCCAAACTCCTGCCTTTTCCCAATTACACTGCGCACTTACTATCCAAAAAAAGATACAAGGTCCTCAATGGAACCTGCCTCCATCGTGTTTCTAGACAGTGTATTCTATGCCCTAACAACTCAGTGAAAAAATGTTTTTCTCACATTATCCCAGCTTCATTCACACATTATTTTCAAACTATGCCCTCTCGTTTTACGTCTTTTTTTCAAGCAACAACAGCTTCTGTTCTGACTAGTCCACTCATGATTTTGAAAACCTCAGTTGGAGCTCCCCTCTACCTTCTAAAACAGTCCCAACATCTTTAGTCGATCCTC